TCACGAATCGCGCTAATTGTAATTCGATTTAAGGTCCTTTTAAATAAGGAATGATTTTATGACTTAAGTGAGATAGCAAGTATATATTTAACAAAGCATTAGTTATGTTAATTGCAGCAAAGATTACATTTTAGTCAGTAATTTATCAAAGACGTGACATAGATCCTTGTGTTAAGCACAACTTGTGTGTGACTCACCCAACGTGTTTGTTACTTATGTCACACGTAGGGTTGTCAACGTGAAGTTTGATATATTTGATTCAGTGCTTAGCATGACTTAAGTAAATAAGAGTGATCAAAAATCGTGATTTTTTTATTGCGAAAAGAAGTCCGTTATCTTTTTTGCGTTAGTGACTTCAGTCTTTCACAAGAATTTAAAAAAACCCATTGACTTCAAATTATCGCATGTTCGCGGGCAAGATTACTTTTGAGACTATTCCTACAAATTACCTAGAGACAAATTAACATTTAGAGTATTTTTCAAGGAACCGGAAAAAAAATTAAATTATCGAAAGTCGACTGTATTAACAATTAGGAAAACTATAAAAAAGTTTTATTAATAATCTCTAATACGTTTCGTTTTTTTTACAAGGCGCGTAAAACAGTCTAAACGTATATAAAATATGTTGAATGCGAATTTGACGATGGATTAAACAATGATACCAGCCCTAGCGAATTACTACCTAGGTCGCGAAGTTTGCACCTTACGAAGCCGGCCAGACGAGTTGACGATATCGCAATGCGAACTTGCCAATATAACTCAATGATTTGATGAATGAGAATTCTGCAGTATTAAACGCTTATGTGTAGTACCAGTATATCAGTTTTATACATTTGTTTAACTTTGTAAGATTTATGTAAGAAAAATATTATTATTTTTAAGAGTATATAAATTATATGTCTAGTTAAAATAAAATTAAAAAGAAAGAGCCTGTATCGAGTATTACACAATCGGGATTACATTAAGTTTAATATCAGTAGGTACACGACCTCCGACCGAGTGAAGACCGCCTCCAAATTCTTCCATTTGTCTCTCTTCTTTAATTTTTCCAATAGTTTTTAGTTTAATAATAAGCAACGACGAAATTAACAAATTTTTACTGATATCACATTTTGGTGTCTTATTAAAATTGTGAAATCTTTTTGGCGAACACAATAGTCACAAAATAAATGTTAGAACAATAGTTATTCGTATTCTTAAAGATATAGTATAGGTTTCTATGAATAAGCGTTAAAAAGTAGTTTATTTCCGTTTTTGGGTCGATTAATGAATCGGAATACATAATGAATTGTCCACCTGCTTTATTTATAATCCGTGGGCGTGGTTTTAATTATGATTTATTAAATTGTATTATAGCTTTTTACGTAAATATATTTTCTGTTACTTTTAAAGGAATATTTAAGTCTTAAATAACGAAAATTTTATTTCTCGTCCAAGGAATATAATAAACAGAAAGGGAATTATTTTTCGTAATGACTTCCTACTTTCTCTTATATTATCATTTCATTTGACTGTACTACATGATTTTAAATATTCTTTCTCTGCTTAAAACGATGTCTGATGACTGGAGACGCGAATTGAAAAACGTATCCGAACGAAACTGGTTTGGGCGTACAAAAAATGCTGCCGTTCAGTTTACGGACACAATTTGAATGTACAATATAGCATTTAAATGAACCATTTTTGGCATAATTTGCGTAGGACTATACGTAATGCTTGATTCTTATATGGTTTGCCTATTTGCTCTTGAGATAGTTACAATAATTGCTTGGAACTGCCCACACTTTGTGACACATTTGATTAAATGCTAGGCTGTTTTTTCTCTGTCTTTAAGTTACTATACTGAAACTCATTTTGGAAACTATATTCTAATATATAAAATTCTCATGTCACAATGTTCGTTCCCATACTCCTCCGAAACGGCTTGACAGGTGCTTATGAATTTTTTTAATGCATATTTAGTAAACTGGGAATCGGACAACATCTATATTTCATTCCCCTTAATGTTAATGGTGGTCCCACCAATTAATTTTTATTTAAATTTTTAGACAAAGCTTTTTGTTTTTATTTTTTTACGTTACAGCATACAAAAATTCATTCAACCCTTAATTGTCACCCCTCTACGTTCAACTCCTATTTTTTATTATAGTAGATAGTTATTTTTATTGAACTAAAATAATGTCTCCTTGATGTAATATACATGGCAAAACAACGTTTGCCGGGTCAGCTAGTATATATATGTATATATATATAAAACCTTGCACTGAAGTGCCTATTTTTTTTTAAATATCGACAACATTCACGCCTTCCATCTGGTGTGCATGGTCTGCCCTCTTTCATTTGGTGAAACTTTAATTTAAAAAAATGAATTTAAATTCTACAATTCAGAGACAAGTTTTCGTATGTCGCAATAGTCCAATTATTAAATTGTGAGTATTGAATAAACCCCTTCAGGTCTTACTGTAATTTCAACGTAAGCTCTTTGTACCGCTATTTTAGATTTGAAAGTGGCTTACCTTGCAACAGTAATAATTCATTTCAACTGTTCAAATCTGTTTAACGGTTCTATATGTCAATATTTCTTTCTCACCATCTTTGAGGCTTTGTACATAGAATGTGTTCGTTTCACTATTTAAGCAAAAACATGTTCTATTTTTACTATATTTAGGTCATGTTTTACTTGATCGATGGTGATTTTTCTCTTTGCAATTTCATGCAAAAAGACACCGGTATCGCGGTGGTATTGTGGTATGTAATATAATGCATTGGAAAATGAGCTCTGATATTGTGAAATACGCTGCATAATCGCGGTCAGACATTAGTTGCATGATTTCCTACGGTAAGGGAAGGCTTGAATTACCGACGGCTACTTTAAATGGAATATGAGATGAAAATAAGACGAAGAATTTTTAATCGGACTCTTTTGTTAGTGAAACAATGACTTGGAAATATGTTTGATGTTAGACATAGTTTGTGTTGAGAATTTGATCCGAAGAATGTAATATGAATATTATTATTGAAATTATCTTTTGGCAGTGACCAATTAAATGTAATAAATAGGTAGATCATCAAGCGGCCCAATAACCTTCATTTGAATTAGAAATCGGTTATTATTCGACGTTATCCGTAGCAGTCACGCGAAACTAACTAAACGTTTGGGCGATGTTACATTCGCTGAAAAGGCGGACAGCGATCTATATCAAAGTTTCATTTCCCCTATTTTATTGTATATTTGTTTATAAACTTACCTTACATTACGTTAAAAGTTTTTGTTTTAAATAACTAAGGAAACATGTTAAAACATTGGTCATACCACGCTTATGCAATTATAAAAAAAAAAGGCTAGTTCTAGTAATTGAGGCCTACAGTGCGTTTTGGAATAACACCATTTGACTACGCAGATTAGAAACTCGCTTTCCGCTCATACGTCTTCTATCCCTTAAAGAAACTTTATTAATAAATGTAAATGACCCTAAAACCCTCACGTGAGACTTATATTTAGAACCTAATAATATTTTTTCACACGAACTATTATTTATTTTTACTGAGCGTTATGTAACTGACGAGCATACCTTTATGAAAAGGTGTCTTTGATGTTAGTAAGGTTATAGGGGTTCACAAATCACTTGCATCATGACTCACTCGCTCGCCATCTGTCGTTAGTGATCAAGTCCACGTTGTTTCTTGTCTACCAAGCGTTATATTTATATATTGGGGTATATAAGTGCCTTATCTGTCATAAATTGGGCTTCTGATAATGTTTTGTCCTGCTTATTGTTACATGTGCGTCCTATTGACTTAGGTGGTGTCTGTGCGTCTCTTACAGGTTGGAGCTTTGTGTGCGGCAACTGTTTGGGTACTCGGTGATTGGCCGAAACTTCTTTACTAACTATCTCTTATCTCTCTCTTTCCAGATGTCCTGATGAGGCTCTCTCGCTTTGGCTCGGCGCTGGAACTCTTATTTCGTGTTTAGGGTTACTAGAGTTCATTTTAACATGTAATTTATCTTGGTGTTTAGTAAATGTAAATGAGGACATATTGAATTCAATTACAAGATCAGTGATTTGTTTTTATACAGAACTATACATTTATGTTATAGTAATTGGATTTGAGTTACGTTTAAAATTTTGATTATCACCGTTTTATGTTGAAACAAGTTTGTCATGAAGTTTCAATACAAATAGTTGAAGGCGAACATGTATATATTGTTAAACACAACCTTTTAGTGAAACATCTGGTAACCCTATTCAAGCTTATATGTTCGCTAGTATCTTCACATGTCGTATTGATGTTTTGTTGAACGACTAATGCCAAGGACGCGACATCATATAGGCAATTAGGGTTTATTCTTGTCTATTTGTAATTTTGTATTCGTGATGAATCATTAATTCAAAGTTTATTAACTTTTTTATTACTATTAAACCGTACTTCTGTCTTTTTTGTCATCTTTGTATCGACAGTGTTGTATAGTATACTCGTCTAGTTTCATAAATCGTTTCAATCCGACAGTAGATGCTTATCTAATCTTTTATCGTTACCAATAGGTGATCCGTTTTACTTGATAAAGTCTTCACCGGTGAAAGGTATACTCTCTGTAAAGCGGGATTAAATTATTGACGAGCCATTAGGTTAGAATAATTGCTCGATTTCTCCATATTCGACGTTTTTAATTTATTTATAAACCACTATCGATTAGGTATCGAATACAATGGGTCTGTGCGTCATCAGAATTCTCAATGTGTTGGATTTTGAGTAACTTAGTCAAGGTTCCATTGGTCGATATGTCAATGGTTATCTATCCTCTGTTTAATAAATGAGTTGTTTCTTGTATCGATCGGCGCCAATTCATCAATTGCTCACGTTTTTGATATCGGTATCTCTTATCTTTTTTAATACTTCGAAATGTGTTCATTTAGGTGTTAGCATGGGAAACTAACAGATTTGTGATGAAAAATTGTGTCAGACTTTAGTGTTGAAAGTATAATGGTAATCTAGTGATCATGGAGCGGAAGTTGACTCGCGAGGACTTCATGCGAAAGAGCTTTCGGGCTCCGAGGGTATCTCCTGCCCCTGATCAAATCACAACGCATAATGGTGCACCTCCTCCATCTCCGGTGTCATTAGCAATGCTAGAAAAGACTCCACAGCCCCAAAGAGCTAAATATGAAGTTACTTCAACTGGAATCGCTCCAAAACGACTAGAACTTAATAGAGCGCATCCAATACATCTAAAGTCATTCCAAGCGTCTGAATCACCTGAGGATAATGGACCGACGCCACCATCAGACGATGTTTTACGTAAATTAGAAAGACAGATTGGCGAAATGGAGCGAGGCTTGGAAAGAGCTCAGAACGGTACAGTTGAAGTTGATGAAAGAGTACGTTATGCGGAACACGAGAATCTACTCCGCACTGGAGTGTCTTCTGTCGGCGGTGGGGGCTATCTCGCAGCCGATTCCGACACAGAACACGATGTTGTACCATTCAACAGAAATGAGACGACACGTAGTAGTACAGGAGCAACTGCACCCGCACCGCGACCGGCCACCCGTCTGGCACGAACGAATTCAGATACGCAGCAACATTCTGTGGCTGCTACAGCCCGCCTGATGAGGAAACTGGCTGATGGTGGCACAAAGGATGAGAAGACTAAAGTGATGTCGAGGAAAGCTATTCAAGCGAGAATGGAACAAGTGAAACGGTCAGTGGTAGGGACGAAACACGAGCACAGAGTACTGGCTGAACATAGAGCCGAGCCGAACGCTGCTAAAACACCAACGTCTCCTGCCTCTCAACGTTCTTCTGTGCAGGTAATTTTGTGAGCGTCTCTATGTTTATATTAAGACTGACATATCGTTTGAAATACATAGTACAATTTAAATAATTTTGCACACAATTATGTAGAAATCACTAAAATGAAAGTTTCATAAAAGTTAGAATCATAGCACAGTGTATGCCACGTATCTCTGTTATAGTCGGACATTGGTTGAAATTAGTAACAGGTTATAGATAATTGATAAAAAAGTAACCAATGATAACAGAAGATAATAAACAACCTTGCTGTTACTAATTTGTAATATTGAACGAAATCCTTATCACTTTATTTTACTGTGCGTCATTTGATTAGAATACACTAAACTTAAAATTATTATAGATTTGTAATTAGAAATTAAAACAGTTTCCAATAAAAATTACATACAAATTCGTATCGTAATTAATATAAGTAAAAATTTCAGACTTTATTTACCTAATTAGATTAACGTCTTTTCTGGTTAAAAACAAAACAAAAATACAAGCAAAGTACTTACAATGTTTGTGCGTAAAATAATTTTATTAAAGTAGCATTTTTCACGATATTAACACTAAATCATGTCCTGAAGGCCTGCATTGAAAAGTACAAGAGGATTTGTAATGTAGGATTTGATACGAGATCGTGTTGTTGCGTCATCGTGATGAGTTACAAGGTCAAGTTTGAGGCTATTGTTATTCAGTTGGTTTCCTTGTTTTATGATGGTAGGTACTTTCTGTGTAATAAAAAAATATTATCAGTAAGTTTAATTATGAAGAAATTTTTACTGGAGGCAATTTTTTCATTTGTCCCATTTATGTTACTACCAATTTTTTTTAAACTATGTATATAATGAAATAAATACGAATTAAAAGTTTAAAAAAATATAGCATGCATACCTAACTACTATTAGATAAATAAACGGACATTTAATTCTTTATTACATAGATAAGTATTATATTTCTGTATACAACCAAGTGTTAATAAATAAACATAAATAAATAAGTCCGTGTACAAAGGTACAATCGATACAATTTTTTTTATTAAATACAATTTTTTTGTGCATTTTAAACGGTTCTGTGTTTAGGATTTTTTTTAAATGATTCCGTAATACATTATAAATAAACTAAAAGTACTTAAACACCAAAAAACGTGTTACGTCAAGTACCTATCCAGTTATGATAAAGTTAATTTAATATATCATTACACAATATCTCTGTAAAAGTGTTTGATAAATACGTTCGATACTTTATGGGTGCGATCCAGTGAATCAAATAGTACGAGATAAATTCACTCTCATAGATCAATTGCACCGACGGAGTGCTCCGAAGGATTATTTCCAATAACTAGCAGTCACAATTGTACAATTATTGTTAAAACGACGCAGCGATTCCGCATTTTTGTTGTAAATATAATTATAGTTTAAAGCTTTATGGCTTCGATTCCCGGCCGTGCACCAATGGACTTTCTTTCTATGTGCGCATTTGTGCGAACGATGAAGGAAAGCATCGTGAGGAAACCGGCTTGTTTTAAACCCAAGAAGTCGCGTGTATCAGGCACAGGAGGCTGATCACCTACTGGCCTATTAGATTCACAAATGATCATGAAACATAATATACAGAAATCCAATCTATACCTAAAGAAGGTCGTAGCGCCACTGATTTATTTGTAGTAGAAACTAATTAAAAAATGATAGTTATATGCTTCTCATTCGAAACTCGAAACTGTTGAATTGATTTAAAATTTCTTCCACTGATTCAAATCTACATATATATGTAACTAGATATAGTGATCTACAATAAATTTTATTTTCATAAAACAAGAGTCTTTGATAACAATATGTTATTATATGCCGTACATGTATGAAGGGATCATTCCGAATTAATTTTATAACTAGACATGCATTACAATGTGTATGATGAATTGTCGGCTCAGTGTCAGTGTTCTCTCCCATAAAATTGTGAATATAATGAGTTTTTGTGTTCCCATCGTAGAGCTAGAGATATAGAGGCTGCGACTAGCGATCGCAATGCAACTATCGCTACCCGTCGTTCGTGATAAGACTGCAGCACTAAATGTAATTAATTGGGTGTGAACCCATAGGGTTTGATTCCCGACACGCTGATAGATTTAAGTGCTTCCATTCGCCCATTAGTGGCTGTGAAGATTTTTAATTGATTTCTTACGTGCTTTTTCTTTTCTAAATAAAAGAAACTCAGTTTCTTAATGATTTTGCTCTTAATAGTTTTGTAATTCTGTATAACAATAAGTTTATAGGGTTAGGTTTTGTCGTTGAACTATCTGTAGTTTTCTTACAAAATTTCAAAAATTTTATGCTCTTGCGCTGACCGCCTTAGCGGTTAATAATAATTAGCGAAGAAGGCTGGTCAGGTGATCCATACAAAATACTTGTGCTAGATTATCGTAAATTCACAATTAGTTAACACGTATCTAGAATACATACACTACTCATGTGTATTTAAATGTTTGGATAATTATTTTAATATTTTTTTTCTTTCGCAGGTAAGCAATATTAGCTTTAAGCCCCTTGCAACGATACTACGATCAAAGTAAGTTTTTGTTTTTACACACTCACTGCAAAAAGTGCATTTACAGCTCTGCCTGTCCATTGCCACCTCCCGCCAAATGCTGGCTTTCAGCCACAGCAGGTCCTTCTACACTCTGTCGATGCAATGGTACCTACTACCTAGTTCGACCACTGGGCCAGCTACATTTATTTAGAATTTTTATTTTTTGTCATATTAAAATAATAATAATAATGTTTATAAGGCAACTCTTCACAATATTGCATTTTAGAGGCCTTTGTAAGAGGCTGGTGCCTAAATGACTATAAAAGTTCTGTGGTCACCAGCCTTCCGGTGGATAGAATTTATACAAAGACATGACTACATTCTATGAGTGACACTACAAACGTGTGTGAAAGAATTAAGTAAACTATAATAACGTAATAGTGTTGTCAAGAACCAAAAAAGTGATTTTGTATTGCTGCGATCTCAAATCACGACAGTTTTCCTTCCGCACATTCTCAAGTACATTTTTATATATTTAGTTAATCGTTGACCTTTAATACTGGATATGTGTGTGCTGACATTTACTAAACTGAATTCATATGACTAATTTTGCTTAACGGTAGTTTACTGTATGTTCGTGTGCGATATTCACCTGAGGTGTGTTTTCGAATCACGGTTTTGCATCAATGGATTAATCTTTGCTCCTATGGTGAGGGCAAAAAGTGTTTTAGATACATAAATAGATATGTGTCAGGATTAAAACACGTGCAATCTCCGGCAAAGAAATATTTATTACAAGTTCACTTTGCCGCGTACGGCGTACAACATTTTGTCATTACAATGTTAGTAAATAAAAACGTAATCCCACCAATTAAACCAATGAATAGATTATCGTAATCGCCAGTGCGGTCTTACGCCTCGAACAACACCCTTACAATTGAACTTGGCTGGTTTCCCCTACGGCTTCTCTTGCGTCACACGACTATTACACCCCGATAATGCAGTATGTACGATGCAATGTAAGGCTCGACGCGAGAATATTACTTGAACAAGTGTTAAGTGATAGGAGGTTGTGTTTTTGTGTGCAAGGACCATGAGTTGCCTGTGCAAACCTGTTTTACAGATTTTGACATTTCAGCAACAGGTAGCCGCCATTTTTATTTCGCGCAAGCGCAGTTATTGTGCGTGTGCGTGTCTGGGTAAGCCTTTAGGCTATGGCACGAGATGGTCTGCATGGTCATGGGTTTGTTTGGGAGACATTGTTTTTAACAGGGTTTAATCACAAAACACTGTGTAAATGCGTTTGTGGCGTGGACGTTGATAGAATTTGTGTGTTAGTTTTTTTGGTTTGACACATAAGTTTTTGTGTCAAGCCAATTATTATATTAAAGCTAGTCGAATTGTATATATCGTTTAAATATGTAAACTTTTTATAGGTATAGAAATTATAATACGTTAAAAAATTATAAAGTTTGAATAACACTATTGAAACTTATATTTTTTTAAATAATTTTGTATTAATTCTAGTATCCATGGTACTCATGAGAGTATCAACTGTAAACCGGTTCAAATATTGGCGTATCTTGCTTCTCCCTATGACTTTTAATATTAAGTAACTTGTTTAAGATGCAATTTTTCGTTATTAGTGATAGTTTTGATCTTGAGAGAACCTATGTCTTTGCTACATCTTAGAAAAACTAAAACTTTAAATTAATTGAAAAATTAAAAAGATCTATGCTTATATTGGACCTAATTTTGATAGCTATTATCGAAATCGTGGTTACGATATATAGGACGTATATATATTTAGTAACAAACCGAAATTACTCATTTGAAATGTTTGTGTATTCTCTATGTAATACAAAACTTTCCCGTTTTGTATGTGAGTTAAAGGAATATTTTTGCAAGTTTTCTAATCAATTTATTGACATAAACCATTTTTATATTATACTACTAGCCGTTTCGCGCCCGCTTTGCTGGACGAATTAAAATAAATTTTATGTTTCATATTTTTATTATTCTTTCATATTTTTATTATTCTTCTTTTTAACTTCCCGCTAAGAAAATTGAAATATTTCTAAAATCGAGTTTTTAACAGATGTTGACGTTTAGAGGTTCTAGGAAGCCTCCCCGAATGTTTCCGCGGTGAAGTCCGTATGGATAAATTTTCTTAAAAGTAAAACAGCAATAAAAAAATGAAGGAACGTTGGAATTTAATAAATAAATAGCCATTATTTCGCATCGAATGGTGGTAGTTTCATGTCGATACGATCAGTGGTTTAGGCGTGAAGGAGCCTCAAACGAAGACCATTTTTCTTTTATATATATAGACTACTGATCCGGCAAACGTCGTTTTGCCATGTTTGAATGTTTTGGGTGAAAATTAGGGGTTGTATGTATTTTTTAATGCTGTATCATAAAAAAATAAAGAATAACTAGGGTGGGGACTACCCTTAACATTTAGGGGGATGAAAAATAGATGTTGTCCGATTCTCAGACATAC